CGCTTCTCCTTAGGGACGTGCACGAGTCCCATGCACCCGAAGACTCGAAGCATATCCACCAGAGGCTTCTTGCCTCTCCATTTCTCCATAGGGACCCAATACTGCCCACCCACATGAGTCAATACTCGGTTCTTGATGACGGTGGCATGGCGAATAGCGAGGGGCCAGAACCGTAAGGGTAGACCCGAGTCTACCAACATCGTTCTCCCGCCCTCCATGATGGTCCGGTTCGCTCTCTCTGCCACGCCATTGGATTGAGGGGTGTAGGCCGTGGTAAGCTTCTGCTTGATGCCGTGCCGCTTCAGCCAGCTCCGGGACTCTGCTCCCAAGAACTCCCCACCACGGTCGCTACGAATCGCCTTCACCCGCTTGCCACTCTCTCGCTCCACCATGGGCAGCCACTCTTCGATGATGACTCTTGCAGCATCACTCTTCTTTGCAAGTGGAAAGGACCAGGTGAGCCTTGTGTTGTCATCCACCATGGTCATGGAATACAGGGCCCCAAATCTTCCTTCACCTTCATGGGTCCCACGAGATCCACATGCACGAGCTCCACCGGGTCACTCGACTTCCCCTCCACCGAATGGAAGGGAAACCGTGAGCACTTGCTGGTCAAGCAAGTCTCACAAGATCCCACCTCCTTGGGCTCCCCCTTTATCCTCAGCCCCTTGACTCTTTCCTCCTTGAACAGCTGCTGCAACTGAGGTAGCGCCACGTGGCCAAAGCGACGGTGTGCGGTGAGCCAATCCGTCTCACCCGTGCTAGGAGTTACACTTGGTAGCGCAGCCCCTTCATGCCCAATGAGCCCACCATCACCGTCATCACCACCTCCTCCATTGTCCACGTGGTTAACACGTCCTCCTCTCACATCTCCAGCAGCCAAGCGCGCAGCCGCCTCCTTCCATGGCAGCACCGGTATCTCCCACATGGACCGGTGCATGTCCTTGCCGCCTCGGAGGTCCCACAACACGCGCCCATCCAGAGTTGCCTTGAAAACCTTTGTGCCCAACATCTCCATCTTCATCCCTGCCTCACTCAGGGCCTTGGTAGAGAGGAGGTTGGCACACAATCCAGGAACAAGGAGAACACGCTTCAGCCCCACAAGCCTCCCATCCGCACCCATGAACATGGCTCTCCCCTCGCCACGCACGGGTACAACTTGGCCGGTGGCTGAAACGACGGTGGCTGCCTTTGATGGCCTGACTTCATCCAGTAGATCCTCTCGGTTGGTCATGGTCATGAAGGCTCCCGTGTCGATGACCCAATGGGAGGAGCGGTGAAGAGCAACCTTGCTGGCCGGCACAACCATCTCCTCGGAGCAAGCCTCTCCTACATGATAGAACATGCCGCCGTATCCGCCAGCACCTCCATCGCCCTCCTCACTGCCCATGCCTTCTCCCATAGCTCCATGAACACCCTTGGAGCCCTCAAGTGATGGCTGACCAGGCCTCCAACCGTCAGGTAGCTTGCGGCACTTGAACCATGGGTGACCTTCCACATGGCAATACCAACACTTGCCGCCACACCGCTTGCCTCCCTTGTTGCCACGCTTCCCTCCCGAATGCTGCTCCCCTCCAGAGCCTTCCTTGGCCTTGCCTTTCTTGCTGCCACGCCCCTTGAAGCCCTTCATGCCATAGGCAGAACCTCCACCTTCACCAGCAGCGGCGGTCAGCTCCTTCCTCCGAAACTCTTTTTGAAGAACTTGCGCACGAATCCACTCAAGGGACCATGAGTCCTTCATGCCATTGAGGTTGACCACCAAGGGCCCCCACGACTCCGGCAGCAGGGAGAGAGCCTTGTAGCACTTGATCTTCTCAGGGTAGTCAACACCAGCAGCAGAGAGCTTCACATAGAGGTCTCGGCATTGATCGAACGCTCCTTGTACGGCATCACCCTCGTTGATCTTCACCGCATGGAGTTGTCGCTCGAGCACCACCACCATCGCTTCGCTGCTGGGGGCATGGACATCCTTCAATATCTTCCATGCCTTAGGACCACACTCAACTTCCTTGATGAGATGCTTGATGTGGTGCAGCTGGTTGGATGAGAGGCATTGGGAGAGAAGGAAGAATCCATCCTTGGACCGGCGATCCCATTCCTTGGTCGCTCCTTCGCTCGCAGGCCTCTTCAATTCTCCATCCATCACTTCAAGCAGCCCATAATGATTGAAATGGAGCTCCATCCTAAAGCTTTATGATGCCCAATCCTCCCCAGAGAACTTCTCCAGGTTGAATGCCTTCACATCATCCTTAGCTGATGTTGAAACGGAAGCCATTGGTGCAGATCCGCCTGCAACGCCTCTTCCCGCTTCCCCAGCGCCTCTCACGCCACCACTGCCACTGGGACCAGCTGGAGCAGAACCTTCAGCCTCCATATTCACCCACGAACAGAGTAGAACAGCTCTGATACCACTTGTTATAGTCTAGAGTCCACTTAGGGGTCGCGGATGCCCATGAAACCGCCTAAGTAGAAACTGACGACTTCAAACCGCCTCTGTTCAAAACGCCGTCACGATCAGCTCCGATAACATACGAGGCTGAAACTTGAACAGAAGTTAGCCTTAGGTGTCTGCTTTCCAACGGTATATTACTTGCATTTATCAGAGGTGTAAGCACTACGCAGTGAACGAAAACGTAAGCTCGGCTGAAAACGTGTAGTTTCATTGATGCAAGGAAGAGGTGAGTACAACATTGCCTAGGGGACTCTTAAGGGGTAAGGTCATCCTGGGAACTCAGAGAAGGTTGAGTCCTAGGGGAGAAAGGCTAGAGAAGGATGCAAAACGTCCTAGCTAGGTCAGCAAAGCCAACCACACTTGGATGTTCAGAGCTGTACTCAAGGCTACCAATAGTGAGTCAAGCCAACCATGAGTCAGCTTGTCTTCCCACTTGCACCCTCTTGCAAGCTGCTTCCAGGAAGACCACACTTCTCAAAAGGAGGGTGGTAGAGTCCCACTTGACCACCTGTACTTCTTGTCTCATTCTCTGTCCCTGCACCATTGGCATGACAACAATGAAAGGGTGGCAAGGGAAATGCTGCCAACAGTGCACCATGACTACGAAACAGTGACTTTCGACAGCTGTCACGCACTGCTACGATGCTGGATCGTTCTGAAACTTAGTGACCACCTGCATAACGCGGCAAAGGACTTTCAGACCGATTTTCAGACCCATCAGAGCTCCGTAGACGAGTCAGCAGCCGAAATAGTGAACTCGGGTGTTACCAAAAAAGAGTAACACACACTTCCGGGATGCCATAAGTCTTGAAACTTAAAATGTTGTCATGCCTTGTTAACTGCTTCAAAAATTCTGAAACTTTGAGGGTCTGATGAAGACATGTTGAAGAACCTCCCCTCAAAATTCCAGAAGCTGAGCAGGCTTGTAGGCTGAATGGGAGTGCGATGACCGTGCCACTATAGTGTGTTGGCACAACAGCAGTTTGTATACCAAGAAAAATGGAGAGCACATTTCTCTTGTGGCGGGTAGTTTCTCTTGATGAAAGAGCGATGAGCTCATGCTTCTGTAAGTTCCAGAAGATGGTTCCAGCAGGTTAAAGGCGAAAGATAGAGCCAGTGTACGAGCGACTGTTTTTAGCATCTCCTGCATGATCAGCATCGCCGTGTAGGTTAGATCGACGTGGGATGTAGAGATGGGGTATTGCAGTTTATGGCATGTTCTCCCCATCAGGTCGTCGTAGCTACTGGGCGAGCTGGCTGGTGACATATGATTGATTTGGGCGGCATGTGACGGCGGCGAAGAGTAGGCATCCAAGTTGCTGTAGGTAGAGCACATGATCCGCAGCAAAGAGTGGAGTGATGTCAGAACTGTGTCCAGGAGAATGAATCTGAAATCAAGAGGAGAATTTGATGGGAGAAATGATGAATTTGTTCGCAAGTGTCTCGGCATACTTAGGAGTGGAGAGGTAAGTGTTATTGGCATATTGTGAGATGTTATGGCCGAGGAACAGTGTGACAGAGTGAGAAATCATGACATCGAGTTTTTCTTGGATGTTTTTCTCGAAGCAATTAAGGAGTCGGGACTCGTCCTGGAGTCTACAAAAATACCAATAACGTGTGTACACATCATAGGCACTGTAAGCTATTATATGGTTGTAAAACTAGCATGTATCTAAACCATAGCATCACACGAATAGTCAAGAGCTTATTTGTGCTCCACATTTACAAACTAATATGTTCTACAGTAATACTAGCATAAGATTGAACTACTGAAAAATAACACAAGTGGGTTTAACCCAACACTCCCCTTCATTTTTAGAATTTGATGTTGTTAGTTCCTGGTGTCGAGGTCGAATGTCAATTTAAATAGCTGCATATATTTTGGGCTAGGTTAAGTTACTCCTTATAGGGTACAATTTTGGTACTTATAAATTATGTATGCTCTCATGTTAGTCATTCTTCATTTGTAACATGGTAACATGAGTAGGTTAGGTCGACGTTTCCACTTCTCCGAGCCTTCCCCGACTTTAGCCCGCCCCTTGTGCTCACATTTACGCCTGTAGCGCACCTCCAAGAGTGCCCCGTCGAGTGGCCCTTGGTGCGACCCTTGAGCGCCCTCCCTTAGCCGTTCGTCGGGCCCTCCCCCAGCTGCCCATCGCGCCCCCTGCCTTCGCCGGCCATCGCGCCCTGCCTAGGCCGTCATCGTGCCCCTGCCTAGGCCACTCGTCGTATCCTACCTGAGCTGCCCGTTGCGCCCTGCCTAGACCGGCGACTCACCCTTGCCTAGGCCGTTTATCGCACCCCTATCGAGGTCGACAATGTGCCCCTGCCTAAGTCGCCCGTAGTGCCCCTGCCTAAGGTGCCGTCTTGCCCCTTCGTTAGTTGCCAGTCGCGCCTTGCTGTAGCTACTCGTTGTGCCTTGTCTAAGCCACCTGTCACACCCCTGCCTAAACCGTCTGTCGTGCTGCTGCCGATGCCTGCACTGCTCTCGTCAAGCGCATAGCCGCACCAGCACCAGCACGTCCTTCCGCCAGCGTACGCACTGCCAATGCCAACATGCCTTGCGCCAGCGCATGCAGCGCCAGCGTCAGCACTTGCCTACGTCAGCCGTCTGCGCTGCCTACAACCCACTCCGCCCGTGCCAGCCGCACCACTTGCGTCACCCGAGCTGCCCTTGCGGCATGAGCTGCCCGCGCTGCCCATGTCACTCGAACTGTATGCACCTTCTAGAGTCAGTAATGTTGTCGATTGCCCTTGATGTGACACTGCAATTGCACCTACTATGGTGTCTGCCTCTATAATTAAGACTTATTGTAGTCTTTCTCTTCCTCCTCCTATCAATGTTTCCTCTCACTTAATACTGCTATGGTAATGGAGTCAGTGCTGCATTTCCATGCTGGGGGACGTCTGGTAGAATTTCAATTGTGGATGCTCAAGGTCTAGCTCTAACTAGAGAGGCAGCTTTGGTAGGACGCCTCCCTGTACGAGCACGCTTCTTGTGAGATCCTAAACCTGTCGTGTTCTCTTTCTCCTTCTCCTTCTCCCTCTCCTTCTCCCTCTCCTTCTTCCTCCCCCTCTCCCTCTCCTTCTCCCTCTCCTTCTCCCTCTCCTTCTCCCTCTCCTCCTTCTCCTACTCCCTCTCCCTCTCCCTCTACTTCTCCCTCTCCTCCCTCTCCCTCTCCCTCTCCCTCTCCCTCTCCTTCTCCCTCTCCTTCTCCCTCTCCTTCTCCCTATCCATCTCCCACTCCTTCTCCCTCTCCCTCTTCCTCTCCCTCTCCCTCTCCCTCTCCCTCTCCCTCTCCCTCTCCCTCTCCCTCTCCCTCTCCCTCTCCCTCTCCCTCTCCCTCTCCCTCTCCCTCTCCCTCTCCTCTCCATCTCCTCCTACCTCTCCTCCTCCCTCTCCTCCTCCCTCTCCTCCTCCCTCTCCCTCTCCCTCTCCCTCTCCCTCTCCCTCTCCCTCTCCCTCTCCCTCTCCCTCTCCCTCTCCCTCTCCCTCTCCCTCTCCCTCTCCCTCTCCCTCTCCCTCTCCCTCTCCCTCTCCCTCTCCCTCTCCCTCTCCTCTCCCTCTCTCCCTCTCCCTCTCCTCCATCTCCTCCTCCCTCTCCTCCTCACTCTCCTCCTCCCTCTCCTCCTCCCTCTCCTCCCCCTCTCCTCCTCCCTCTCCTCATCCCTCTCCTCCTCCCTCTCCTCCTCCCTCTCCTCCTCCCTCTCCTCCTCCCTCTTCTCCTCCCTCTCCCCCCCTCCCTCTCCTCCTCCCTCTCCCTCTCCCTCTCCCTCTCCCTCTCCCTCTCCCTCTCCCTCTCCCTCTCCCTCTCCCTCTCCCTCTCCCTCTCCCTCTCCCTCTCCCTCTCCCTCTCCCTCTCCCTCTCCCTCTCCCTCTCCCTCTCCCTCTCCCTCTCCTTCTCCCTCTCCTGCTTCCTCTCATGCTCCCTCTCCTCCTCCCTCTCCTGCTCCCTCTCCTGCTCCCTCCTGCTCCCTCTACTGCTCCCTCTCCTGCTCCCTCTCCTGCTCCCTCTCATGCTCCCTCTCCTCCTCCCTCTCCTCCTCCCTCTCCTCTGTCAACGGGAGCTAGACTACGGGCTAGGCACGGGGTAGGAGTGATCTCTGCGTTCGTTCCTTGTGCTCTCACTACTTGATGGTTCACGGGGGAATTTGGCTAAAGTTCCACTAGCAAAAGTTCATAAACAATGAGGTTCAGAATGATGGCAACAACATTGGCATGCAAGGCTACATCAGAGCTAGCACAGCTGCTGGTCGACTTCCAGCGCAGCATGGTCGACCGCGGTCCAGCGCAGCAGAGCTCGCACCGCTCCAGCGCAGCAAAGTAGCGGCTTGCCAACGTCGCAAGTCTGCGGTGCGCCAACGCTGCAGCAAGTCGGCTGCACAACGTTGCACCCGCAGGACAACGGTGCACCTGCTTCGCAGGTGCGTGCAGCTGGTTGGTGCTCCACACCTTGTCACAAGCACAGCGCGGAGGCCTAGCACAATCCATGCCAGCGACTACGCCCACCAGCCACGTCGACCTCGGGATACCACCCCCGAGGTCACCTTCGCAGAAACCATCCCGGCGACTTTCGCACACGTCGCCCGGGTATCCCGGACGACCGGGCAACCCCGCCTGGTCGTCCAGCCCAGTCGGTCGCCAGCTACACCAAACCCGGCGTCCCAGGGTCGGCGTCCTGGCGTCCAGGTCGGCGTCCAGGACGCCGTCTAGGCGTCCAGGTCGGCGTCCAGGCGCTCGGGACGCCGAGCAGACGCCCAGGTCGGCGTCCAGCCTCCCAGGACGCCCAGAAGACGCCTAAATTGGCGTCCAGGCGCCCCTGACGCCCAGGACGTCGCCAAGACGCCAAGGACGGCGTCTTCTTGCTCGGCGCCCTCCAGCCAGGCGTCACCCAGCTCAACGCCCTTGCACTGGCCCCCGTCCCCATTGCTGCAGGTCGGCTGCATCCCCGCACACCCGACCACGAGGTCGGCTCCGCCCAAGCGAGGACGGGGCCAAACACTACTCCCGTTGACACTCCCCTACCGCGTTCACGCTTGGGCCCCCAGCCCACACGGCAGCACTGCTCGGAGAATAGCTCGGCGGCGTGCACACAACACACAGCACACCGGAAACCGCACCAGCCATGCAAGAAGGCATGGCACCTACTGCTGCACGTCGTTGTCGCCGTCGCCGACTTCAGCCAGGCGCACCTGGCCGATCGCGACGGATCACCGGTTGAAGGTCGGGTAGTGCAGCGCCTTTGTCAGGAAGTCGGCCGGCTGCTCGGTGGTCGGGATGTACCTCAACGCGAACTTCCCGCGCTTCACCATGTGCTGCAGCCAGGCCTGACGTCGCTCCATGTGCTTGAGGTTGCCCGTCAACCCCATGCCCTCGGCGACCATGATGGCCGACTTGTTGTCCACCCGAAGGACAGTCGGCTTCCCGGCGTCCAGCTGCCGGAACTCTGCGATGAGGAAACGCAGTCGGCGTCCTTCCTTCCCGGCTTCGGTGGCCGCCACGTACTCCGACTCGGTCAACGACAGCGTCGCGCACTTGATGCGCTGGCTCGACCAGGAGACTGCGGCCCCTCCGTAGACGAACACGTAGCCGCCCGTGCTCGTCCGGTTCTGCTTGTCGCCGGCGTCGTCGGCGTCCACATAGCCGACCAGCTCCAGCAACCCCGGACCACCGCCAAACTCCAGGGCGGTGTCGCGCGTGTTGGCGAGGTAGGCGAGGCAGCGGTCGACCTCGCGCTAGTGCTGGTCGCTCCTCACCGTGAGGCCGCTCCCCAGCTTGCTGCAGGCGAATGCGATGTCCGGCCTCGTCGTCGTCGTCGCGAACTGCAGCGAGCCGACTTTCTGCCGGTACTCCTCCTCCTGGCGCTCCTGTGCCTCCTCGTCGTCGAAGGTGAGCTCGGCGTAGGCGTCGACGGAGACCGGCGTCTTCGGGGTCCGACCGCCCTGCTCCTCGTCGATGAAACGCCTACGCAGCTTGTCGGCGTAGCCCTGCTGGTGCAGCCAGAGCTTCCTCGCCGGCCTGTCGCGCACGATCTCCAGGCCGAGGTACTTCTGCACTGGCGAAATCTCGCGCAGCTCGAAGGCGGCCTCTAGCAGCTCCTTCAGCTCCCTCAGCATCGCGGTAGACCAGCACGTCGTCGAAGTAGACCAGCACCCAACAGGCCACCTTGTCGACGCCGACTTTGAAGTACACAGCCTCGTCGACCTGGCTCTTCTTCCACCCGGCGCCGACCAGCACGTCGTTGAGCGCCTTGTACCACAACAACGGCGACAACTTCAGCCCATAGAGGCTCTTCAGCAGCTTGCACACCCGGCTGGTCCCGTCGTTGAAGTAGTCCGGCTGGTACATGTACAGCACCTGGTCGAGCTTGCTCTGCAGGAAGGCGTTCTTCATGTCGAGCTGCATCAGGTTGAAGTCGAGGACGGCGACGATGCTGAGGAAAATCCTCAGCGTGACGTAGCTGCTCACCGGCGCGTACGTCTTGTCGTAGTCGGCGCCATACACCTGCGTGAAGCCTTTCACGACCAATCTCGCCTTCTCGCGCTCGACGGTGTCGTCGATGCGGTACTTCATCGTCAGCACCCACCGGTTCTTCATGATGTTCACCCCCGGTGGGCGTTCGACCAGCTCCCAGGTGCCGTTGCTGATGAGGCTGCGGATCTCCTCTTCCATGGCGGCCTTCACCGCCGGACCCTTCCAGCTCGCCAGCGCCTCCTTCACCGTCATCGTGGAGATGTCCCAGCGGTGCTCGGGGTCGGCGTGCATGTCAGGGTCGAGCTCCGGAAACTCCTCATCGTCCTCGGCGTCGTCGTACGCCAGGTCATCGGTGTCGTCGTCGAGCGTGGTGAAGGCAGCCGGCGGGAGGCAGACATGGTAGGTTAGCCGCTCCGGCGGCCTCCGGACTCGGCCTGAACGCCGTAGTTCAGGTTGCTCGGGGTTGACCTCCACTACATCGCTGTCGGTGGACTCACCGTCGTCCGACTGCTCCCCGTCAGCTGCACTGTCATTGGCGTCCTGCTGCACCAAAGCCGGCGTCCCAGCCGACTTCTCCGTTGCCAGCAGCTCCCCTGTCCGCTTTACCGTCCTCTGCTCCCCTGTCGGCGGCTTCTCTGCAGACACCTCCTTTGCCTCTGCAGACGCCCCCTTTGCCTCTGCAGACGCCCCCTTTTCCGACTTCACCTGCTGCTCCTTGGCCGGCTGCTCCCCTGTCGTCGGCGGCTCCGCTTCCACGCCATGTTGAACGCCACTTTGGCCACCGGCAATGCCTTTGGCCGGCGCCACAGGCGGCGCCCCACTACTCCCCTCATTGCCGGAGGCCAACGTCGGCATCGGCGCATGCAAAACGGCCACGGGAGGGGGGATGGCAGGGGTAGGGGGAAAAGAGAGGACTTCCTCGACGTCCTTTTCAGCAGGCTCACCGACCTCGGCGAGCAGAGGGAGTGTCGCCGTGGAGGTGTCCGTCGGCAGGTTGGCCGGCGTCTGCCCCGACGCCGGCTCGTGCTGGGACTTCCACACCTCCAGCGACAGCGACTCGTAAAACACCACGTCCGACGTGGTGACCACCCGGTTGTCAGCGATGTCGAGGAGCTCCCAGCCCTTGCTCTCCGCCGAAACGCCGAGATGAAGGCCCCACATGGCCTTCGGCTTCAGCTTCCCACCGCGCTGCCGTTCGAGGACGAGGAACTGCGCCATGCAGCCCCACACGCGTGCCAGCGACAAGTCGGGCTTCTTCCCGGTGAGCAGCTGGTACGGCGTCGTCCCCGGCGGCAGCGACGACCGCTCAAGGCAGTTGCGGACCCAGACGGCCTGTCGCAGAGCGAGATGCCACCAGTGGTGCTGCACGCCCATGTGCAACAGCATTGTCCGCACCGACTCCACCACCGTCCTCATCTCCCGCTCCGCCATGCCGTTCTGCTGCAGGGTGTACGGGCAGGTCAGGTCGTGGACGATCCCCTTGCCGTCCACGAAGGCGGTGAAGTCCTTCCCGAGGAACTCCCCTCCCCGGTCAGAACGCAGCTACAGTACGCCTACCGCTCGACCGTCACCAGCCACTGCTCAAACTCCCGCAGTACGTCGGACTTCCTGGCGACCGGCTTCACCCACACGTAGCGGGTCTTGCGGTCCTTTAGCAGCAGGAAGTACAGGCTGCCATCCTTGGCGGCCACACGAAATGGCCCGCACAGGTCGATGTGCACGACGGCCAGGGCGTCCTCGGCGTCCGAGCCCTTGTCGGGGAAGGAAGGAATGCCGTGCCAACTTCCCGCCGACGCACGAGACGCAAGGCGAGGTAGCACCAGACTCCGACTTGAGGTCCAGCCCGGCGGCTACCGCGTGCTTCGCCGAGCTCCGGATGGTGTCCATGCCGACGTGCGCGAGCCTCGCGTGCAGCCTGTCCGGCGTCGCCTTCGTCGCCGAGACGATTGCCCGCAGGGCCACTTCCTCCGCTGCAGTCGTCGCCGAGCAGGGACGTAGGTCAGCGGAGAGGACCCGGCCGGAGTACGTTGTTCGACAGAGGACGTCGCCGGTCGCCGAGATGAGCAGCATCCCGTCGCCATCAGTCTGCAGCTTCACGCCGGTCTCCTTGAGCTGACCAGCCGACAGCAGGTTCGCGTGCACGCCCGGGACGTACAGCACGTCGGGGATGAGCACCCGCTTCCCGGCCTCCCCTTGCAGTGCAGCTGTGCCCCGTCCCTTTACGTCCTGCAGCGCCCCATTGAAGCCGCACACGTATGTAATGTCGCCGCTCGGCTGCAGGTCGACGAAGACCTCCTTCGTCCCCATCAGGTGATGTGAGCAGCCGCTGTCGAGTAGGACCACCCCCGGGTTCACCTGCACGGCTACTGCCATTGCCTGGAAGTTCTCGCCGGCCTCCGGCGCCAAAAAGATGGTCGGCTCCACAACGCCGACCAGCGAGCACGACGCCTCCCCGTCATCTCGCCCCTTACCGCTAGTAGAGGAGTCGGCGTCCTTCGCCGAGGTCGACTTGTTCGACTGCTTCTCCTTGCGCGGCCTGCTGCTGCCCCCGACGTGGACGACGGCTGGCCGACCTTCCACGGCCTCCCTTGGCGTCGTCGTCGTCGGACTCACTTCGGTCGAGGCACTCAAAGGAGAGGTGGTCGGGGCTGTGACAGATCCAGCACTCCCGACGCGGACCTCCCCCTCCGCGACCGCCGTCCTTGGCCGACTTCGTCTTGTCGTCGTCCCTCCCCGGCTTCCTGCCACTGCTACCACCACCGCCGCTTGGCTGACCGCGCTGTCGCGGTCGGCCACTATGCTTCGCCGGGGCGGCGTAGTTCACCTGCGGAAGAAGCTCCGAGGACCGCTCAGCTTCCTGCATCGCCTCGTCCCGCAGGATGTACGAGGTCAGGGAGTCCTCGTTCAGCGTTGCCCGCTTGCTCGGCACCACCGACAGCCGCTTCAGCAGGTTGTAGCTGCTTGGGAGTCCCTTCAGGACGTGCGTGACGTACGACGCCGTGGAGTACTGCACGCCGGACATCCTCATGGTGGCGAGAAGTCGCCGAGCCCGGTTGCAGTAGTCGGTCGCAGTCTCCTGGTCGCCCATCCGCAGATGCGTCATCTGCTCCTCGAGCTGGCCGATGTACAGGTCGTCGGTGACCTGGTACGTCGACTCGATGAAGTGCCACGCCTGGTGGCCGGCGTCCAGGTAGTCCCTACACGGCTTCAAGGCGATCTGCACGCCTGGCGAGCAGCACCGCGAGATGACCGTGAAGGTCAATAGCTGCACAGCGCGGAACTCAGCTCGCAGGTCGGGAGAAGTAGTTCTCCGGCGGCGTTGCCACGGTGCCGGCGGCGAAGCGCATCAGCCTGGCCATCTCCAGCTGGGGCTCGATGGCTTCCTTCCAGGTGAGGATGTCGGAGCGACCGACCAGCAGAGGGGTGACCGAGATCCTATCCGGCGTGAACTTGAAGTAGCCGTAGCTCGGCGCGATCCCTCCCGCCGTCACGTGAGTCGCCGACATCGGCGCCAATCCGCTTCGTCGGCCTCCGAGGTCACCCTGCGAGGCCCCTGCAGCCGCTAACGACTGCATTCCTCGCACATGAACGCCGCCGGCTTCACCGGCGTGTATCACTCCTCTCGGCCTCGACGTGCCTCCCGCACTGCTGCCGACCTGATCACCAGCGTTGACGCCCACGTCGACGCCGCCTGCGTTGTTCACCGGTCGGGGAGACGCCGGTCGGGAGGGGTGCTCCGGGCCCACACGGCACGGATGCTAGCCTCAACGACCGCCAGCGGGAGAGTCCCGTACTCGTTCGCCGCATGGCGTCTCCTCGCATCCTCCAGCCGTGCCTCCAAGGTGTCCACGACGCCCGCCTCAACTACGGGGTCCACCATGGCGTCCAACACAGCCGCCGGCCTACGAACAAGCTAGGTAAGTGCAAAGTCGGCTACACCGAAGATGACTTCGCGGTGTCGTCCACGCTCACCGCACCATGCGGAGAGCAACGGGAGCTAGACTACGGGCTAGGCACGGGGTAGGAGTGATCTCTGCGTTCGTTCCTTAGTCGTTCACTTGTGCTCTCACTACTTGCTGGTTCACGGGGGAATTTGGCAAGAGTTCCACTAGCAAAAGTTCACAACAATGAGGTTCAGAATGATGGCAACAACATTGGCATGCAAGGCTACATCAGAGCTAGCACAGCTGCTGGTCGACTTCCAGCGCAGCATGGTCGACCGCGGTCCAGCGCAGCAGAGCTCGCACCGCTCCAGCGCAGCAAAGTAGCGGCTTGCCAACGTCGCAAGTCTGCGGTGCGCCAACGCTGCAGCAAGTCGGCTGCACAGCGTTGCACCCGCAGGACAACGGTGCACCGGCTTCGAAGGTGCGTGCAGCTGGTTGGTGCTCCACACCTCGTCACGAGCACAGCGCAGAGGCCTAGCAGAATCCACGCCAGCGACTACGCCCACCAGCCACGTCGACCTCAGGATACCACCCCCGAGGTCACCTTCGCAGAAACCATCCCGGCGACTTTCGCACACGTCGCCCGGGTATCCCAGACGACCCGGCAACCCCGCCTGGTCGTCCAGCCCAGTCGGTCGCCAGCTACACCAAACCCGGCGTCCCAGGGTCGGCGTCCTGGCGTCCAGGTCGGCGTCCACTCGCCCAGGACGCCGTCCAGCCTCCCAGGACGCCATCCAGGCGTCCAGGTCGGCGTCTAGGCGCCCGGGACGCCGAGCAGACGCCCAGGACGCCGCCCAGACGCCAAGGACGGCGTCCACCTGCTCGGCGCCCTCCAGTCAGGCGTCCCCCAGCTCAAGGCCCTTGCAGTGGCCCCCGTCCCCACTGCTGCAGGTCGGCTGCATCCCCTGCTCACCTGACCACGAGGTCGGCTCCGCCCAAGCGAGGACGGGGCCAAACACTACTCCCGTTGACATCCTCCTCCCTCCTCCTCCCTCTCCTCCTCCCTCTCCTCCTCCCTATCCTCCTCCCTCTCCTCCTCCCTCTCCTCCTCCTCTCCTCCTCCCTCTCCTCCTCCCTCTCCTCCTCCCTCTCCTCCTCCCTCTCCCTCTTCCTCTCCTCTCCCTCTCCCTCTCCCTCTCCCTCTCCCTCTCCTTCTCCCTCTCCCTCTCCCTCTCCCTCTCCCTCTCCCTCTCCCTCTCCCTCTCCCTCTCCCTCTCCCTCTCCCTCTCCCTCTCCCTCTCCCTCTCCCTCTCCCTCTCCCTCTCCCTCTCCCTCTCCTTCTCCCTCTCCTGCTTCCTCTCCTCCCCCTCTCCTCCTCCCTCTCCTCCTCCCTCTCCTGCTCCCTCTCCTTCTCCCTCTCCTTCTCCCTCTCCTTCTCCCTCTCCTTCTCCCTCTCCTTCTCCCTCTCCTTCTCCCTCTCCTTCTCCCTCTCCCTCCCCTACTCTCCCCCTCTCCTCTCCCTCTTCCTCTCCCTCTTCCTCTCCCTCTTCCTCTCCCTCTTCCTCTCCTCTCTTCCTCTTCTTCTTCTTCTTCTTCTTCTTCTTCTTCTTCTTCTTCTTCTTCTTCTTCTTCTTCTTCTTCTTCTTCTTCTTCTTCTTCTTCTTCTTCTTCTTCTTCTTCTTCTTCTTCTTCTTCTTCTTCTTCTTCTTCTTCTTCTTCTTCTTCTACTCTCATTTGCTACAAAAGCTGCTATAATTCGTCCATCCAGATCTGTCCTAAGCTTGTTTCTGAAGTTCTGGGCCAGATGGAAAATGCAAAATGACTCTCGCATAAGTGGGAGACAAGTTATTGTGGTCTATCATGTATCATGACCCGATTGGAGGAGTTCACCTCTGGTTCAGCTTCTAGCAAGAGTGTGAAGAGGTAGGCACAAGCATGTTTGTTTTCGCCCTCCAGCCATGCACATCCCAACATAACCAGCTTGTGTTGGCTGTCCAACATGCAAATATTCACGGTGTATCCCCCAATTTGTTTTATAATGGCGATCACCCTGGCCTCCTGCGCAAACATGATACGCCAATAGTTCATGACCGCCTCTATCGCCATTATGAAAATAACCCTCGCACAATGGAAGTTACTACCACACCTAACCAAAGACACAACGCTCGATGGATTTTTGTTTTCAAGCATTCTAATTGGGTCCTCATGTGTTGAAACCCATCATCTCCACCAAATGAATCCTCATCTCTTAGCTCAAAAAGCACCTCACGTGCAACTGTGTACAAACACCTCACCCTCAAAATCTCCAAAAGACGGCTCATCAATACATGCGGTTTCACATCACCGTGTTTTTTCATCTCATGTGCAATAGTACACTTATCGGCATTTCTCAAACAAGCCACCGTGACCTGCAGGTTACTATAGCGAGGCCCTTGAATGACAACACAAAAAAGACACATCCCCTCTCCAATGTGCACCTCCCCGCCAGGCCATACCTTGCGTGCACAGACTTGCACCACACATCAATGAGCTGCTGCCAATCATAGTGGTAGTACGATGCGGACATATACTATCAACAATACAACCACACATCCTCCCTTGCTGCTACAATAGTTGGGTAGGTAGATGTTGACTGCATCATGTTCTCGCACATCAAAATTACTACAGAACCAGGAGAGAGAAGGCCAAGCAAAATCAAACGAAAGATTGCAAGTTTTTGTGGATTATTGTTGTTAAGAAACAAAAGAGCTCAATTTAACCACTCAATTGAGCATGTTTAACGATTGAAATGGGCAATCATCAACAAGCTCTCACCTTGAACGCAGGAGGCAAAACGTGATGCTCCTTTCAACCTTCACAAGTTGTGTAGGATAGTGAGTGCAGGAGGATCGCGAGTGCAAAAGAGCATATGCGAGAGTATGTAAGGGGGCAATGAGAGCAATTGGTGTTAATCTGAGGGTAGAAGAGGAGGCTAGGGAGAATGGCATGAGCAGCGAGGAATGTGTGTGCAATCGAGAGCAGCAGAGGAGATGAGGGGATGAGAGGCCCTAAGAGGGGAACATTGTGGACAGGAAAGGGGGCGAGAGTTGATGAGACGGGATGAGAGAAGATATGTGCAGATAAGAGGGAAAAAGAGGGGAGGGCATTAGAGGGGATGAGGGGGGATGAAGGGGGATAAGAGGGAATGGGACGAGGGCAGGAAGGGGATGTGATAGGAGCAAAGGGGATGGGGGGGTTCAGAGCTGACACAAGAGGATGACAGGGGATGAGAGTGGATAAGAGTAAATGAGGCCTAGAGATTATGAAAAGGGAGAAGAGGGAACGAGAGGGGAGTAGAGGGCAGGAGTGGGGAGGAGAAAGGATGAAAGTCACTGAAAGCAGTTAAGAGGGGATGAGAGGGAAAGAAGAAAGAATAGAGGGCAAGTGAGGAGTCAAGAAAGGATGGAAAGAGATGAGAGGGGAATAGAGTAGAGGGAAATAGAGTAGAGGGGATGAGAGGGAAATAGTGGGGATGTAGGGGATGAGGGAATGAGAGAGGATGAAAGGGGAGGAGATGGAATATGAAAGGGAATGAGAGGGAATCAATGGGCAGATGAACGAAGGCGAGAAGGGATGAAAGGGGTTGAGAGGGAAGGATAGCAGATACATATGATATCGAGTGGATGAAAGAGTTTGAAAGAGGGTGACCATGTGAGAATGAAAGAGGAGGGAGGACGAAAGGTACTATGCAAGGATGGGAGGGAAATAGAGGGAACGAGAGGGATTGAGAGGGGATGAGTGGGGAATAGAGGGGATGACAAGGATGAGATAGACTGAAAGATGATGGGAGGGAAAAAGGGGGAGTGGGAGGGGAATAGAGATGAGGAGAGGGGACGAGAAAGGATGAAAGGGGATGAAAGGAAATGATAGCGGATGAATCTGAAAGTAAGAGGGCAAAGTATTTTGAAAGAGGATGATAGTGTGAGAATAAAAGGGGAAGAGAGGGAATGAGAGGGACCGTGAGGGGAATAGAAGGGACTAGGGGCATGAGGGGATGAGAAAGGATGAAAGGGGAGCATCGCGATGGTGGCGGCCTGATCGTCTCAATGTGCCTGGGAGGATGATGCGTCGAACGGCATGTCGGCTGTTGGTCACATCGTTATGGCGGTCACATCGTTATGGCGGTCACATCGTTATGGCGTTATGGTCGTCGTTATGGCGGTCGTTATAAACCAAGATTGCACTTGAAGTTAATGGCTAGGAAAGAGGCTTGGGGATAGGGCACGCACCATTGATTTACATCAGCTGCTGCTAGCAGAAAGGTTGTGGCGAGGGAAGCCAGATGGTGCGAGCTAGATCATGTGAGATAGAGATGAAGAATGGAGGGAAGGAAATGAGGTAAGACGTTGGAAAATAAAGCGGATGGAAATGTGGAATAGTCAAGGTGTTTGGTACAATACAATGCAACACGTTGGGTCATGGTCTTTGGACGTGTCTAAAAATGCGCGATTCTACGTGGGGTTAATTCGGACCTAACGGACCAGCTCGAGAACCATCACGTGAACCAGCGGCGGACGGGGACAGGATGCTGGACATATTTCCAGTTCTAACGTCGACTTGCACTAGAGCGGTGCCTTTGACTTGATCACCAGACCAATCAGCGCCTAGTCCGTTGTCAGTAATTGCTCCGACATTTTTTTGCGAATCCTCGTCACTCTTGATTGCGCAAGTTTAATTGGATTATTTTAATCGCACACATGGAAAGGGGAAACTCGATTTCAGCAAGCCTGATGTTCGTCGTTATTGTTGCCATTCGCAACGATTTTGCTGATCGAGACGCAACGTATAATGTAGATCAACGTTTTTTTTTTTTTTTTTTTCTTGCACGGCTGGTCTGCCAAATAGGTCTGTCTGACCGGAATCTCGGACAAGGCATTGGCATTATAACAACAGAGGGTCAGGTCGAGATGGACCAGTCACATGCGACACCCTTTTATTGTTATGGGTGGTTAGCTAGACAATACGAGTGTGTGTCAAACACCATCACACAGGTTGGCACGAGTAGGAAATCAGCCGAGTTTTAGTTCTTTTAAACGGAAACTTCTTGTGTTACCATTCGCATGATTTTCAACCTGTTGTTGGTGACTGGATGGGGCCAACATGATTGTCATGCAAAAGATGCATGTGCACCTTTGTAGTTGTATGCGATTATGTCGATACTCATTTGTGCTGCACAGGTTTGTCATATACCACCACTAAGAACACTTTGTAACAGCTGAGGTGGCACAGGAGAGAATGACAAAAAATTCCTAATTCCTTGTTTTCATATCCTCAAAATAGTGGTTCTTACCGCGCCCCATTTTGCGCTAGACCCCGATTCGTGCATACATTTTTTTCTGATGGGTGGTAAAGGACAGGATCCCTCCCCTTCCCCCCCCCCCCCCCCCCCCCCCCCTCTCTCCCCTTTCCCACAGAAGTTTCTTACGCTATCGAAGCCTCGCATGCAACGTACACAACGCGCGGAAACGCACGTTCGCAAAAAAACTCCCTAAAGAGATCTTGCCGGGCGCGAAAAAAGGCGTGGTAAGAACCGTTGTCTAATGTAAATAAATGCTAGTTACTACGACGATTTGACATTTCCCGCAGCTCATGTCAGTGTGCAACAGTTTGCGTGGGTGGGTGTCAGTGGCTTGTGCTACATCAGCTGTTACATAGTGTTTATACGTAGCAGTGCAAAACAAATTTGCGCATTAGAGCAAGTACTGACAAAACTGCATACCACTGCATATGGTTGCCCTAGATAATGTTTTGCATGCCATCGATGTTGGCCCTGACTGGACGTATTAACCTACCATACTTACCAAACCAGTTAAAACACTCGATATGTTTATCTCGACGCATTGTTATGTGACATGAGTCCCATGTTTCTTACTAAGGGCGCGTATCTTTTGGTGTAGAAGTTCGAAAATAAGGTCCATTTTTTGTGGTTACCAGTATTGCCAATTTCGTTTAGGGTGGTCCCTGACGTTTTTATGTCCAAGTTCAAAGTTTGAGAAAAAAGGACACTGAACTAAGGTCGACCTTGCATTCAAATTTCCACGTCCACCTTCATCCAATCATGTGTTTTTCTGTGCACGCATGAAAAATATGTGACGTTTGCAACACTAACGAAGTAAAATGTACATGGTTACCGAATTTGGATATGGTAACGAATCACACCACAATACTGGGTAACCTACGAAAGCTAAGCGCGACTCAGGATTTATTATATATTGTTGAACTTTAATTGTCGAACTTTGTTGTGCCATGCGCGACTCGGACTTTGTTGACGCAATGCTTCAACCACCGAAAGTTGAGATGGTCGACTACAGGTCGACCAAAGTTCAAATGTGTAAATTAGAATAAAAAACTTGTATCTCATCCTGATTTGCAAAAGACGTGCGCCCTAATGATATATTTCCCCTTGGGAATGACAACATTTATGGGGCACTATGCCGCGTATGGTAACTATTACATTGTGTTTTTGCGAGTTTGGTAACTCACTTCGCGCATTGGTAATTCGTTTCACTCGTTTGGTAACTCGTTTCACGTGTTTGGTAACTATATACTAGCATCTGATTACGGGAATGGTAACCGGGAAAGAATCAAGTATGACAACCTGATTTCGGGTTTTCCCGCTCGCGCGAGTTTCGATTGACGAATCTTGACGCATCGCGTTTCCCCTTGAACACGCATTTTCTGAAATGAAGGAATTAATGCGCAAGTAATTTTTATTGTACCTACATTACCATAAAAAAAAAATCACGGCGCACTTGCAGAATATTGTTTCTGTTTACGTCTGTCGTATATCCAAGGCAAAAAATATGAAACCCTTGGGCATGGCATGCGATTGTGAAAGCATCAACCATAAACATATTGCGCCAATATTTTTTTTTGTTTATTTTTACAAATGGCATGATGTCTGATAGGGGTTTAGTTTTCTCGCCTATAAAGTTGGACCACGTTGGAATTCAAAAGGTCCCTGAGATTTTAAGTGCTTCGAAATGAGCACAAATGCTAATTTACTGAGAGCGTTGCGAGGATCATTCACGGATTTAAAAATGGACAGCGCGCCTTACAAAAACCAAATTTCTTGAAACCAGTTTCTTCTAGTTATCATTCGCGTAATCATTTGCCAGTCCCGAGTTACCAAACGCGTGAAGCGAGTTACCAAACTGGTGAAAACTCTCTGAAATAGTTATCGTACGGGTTATTAAGCCACATTTAAGTTACCAGTCGCATATTCTCCCTTTCCACTTTCCCTTCTGGATCTTCCTGAATCTGCGGCTCATCCAACCAATGGGGCAGCTCGAAGGTTTTGAGGGTGGTTCGGAGGGGCAGCAGTTCTCGCTCGTGAGTTGCGAGACTGGTAACAGCCGTCGTGCATTCTCGCAATGCGAGCGCCCCATCGCCTCCCCGCACCAGCTAGCTCTATTGGGCTCGAGTGACCACACCACTTCTCGCTTCCTCGTCCTTGCATCATCCACCGCCGTGAGAGTCGGGGATCTTCTCGACCTGGTTTGGAGTTGCCTCTAAGGGACACTCGTGCGGGTCGTCCCATCTCCTGTATCGTTGCGATCCCTACTTTCCCGCCAAACGAGTCGCTGCGGCCTGATCATGTCGCGAGTTGTCGCCCGCCACTCCAGGTACGACCGCATCTCACTCGACCGCATCTCAACCGCATCTCACTCGCTCACCCGTTATCGCGCGCGTCAGTTTCGCGGACCAGCCGTCGCCCGATAAGGCACGCATACCGTTGAGTCGCGTGCAATCACGAGCCGAGAGATCTACCTGCTTCGCCACCCGCCCTTCCCCCGCGCGCTTCACCCCCTCGCACTATCGCAGACCGCACGCCGGCTGTAGGCGTGCGGCACGCGCGCATCGCGGGGTTCATGTGGCTCACCCGAGATTCGCCGCGCACGCGGCCGCCATGGAAGGGATCGACTCGAGGCCGCACAGCGCGCTGATCGACACGCTCGCTGATCGGCGCGAGCACCACCCAGCGCGTCGATCATCGCTCACCCCCTCCCCTCCGTGCAACCCTGCTGCCATCGCCCGTTCCCGCAGGCTCCTCGCCAATGCGCTCGCGCCAGCTGGCGCGCGAGGAGGGGGCGCGGCGGCGCCGTCGATCGCGGCGGTGAGTGGATCCGCGTGCTCGCAGCTGCGCGCATGCCGCCATGCCCGCCCGACGTGAGGTTGCGAGCGGATGCGCGCGACAGCGTCGTGTGAAGGCACGAGTGGGACAGCCGTGCGCGAGAGGATGCGTGCACGTCGTCGCCCTGCACCAGCGCGCTTGCAGATTCTCATGACCTCTGCCGTTTTGGGCTGATGCCGCTATTTCCACATGTGCTCATCTCCACGCCATATGCCCACATCTCCATTGCCACGTGTGCTTGGCCATGCGTGTCTCTCATCTGTCCCTCCCCGTGTGTCTCACCAGGTGGACGCCCCTCGCCCCATCACCACCATCGGCCCCACCACCGCCACCGCCACCGCCACCGCCACCGCCACCGCCACCGCCTGCCAGCGCCACTTCACCCTCCGCCGCTGCGGGTGGGTGCTTCACCGCCGCGCCTGCCCTCGCACCCACCGCTGCCGCTGCCCCCCCCATGCACACTGCCACCGCTTGCCGCCCATTCCACGCCGCCGCCCCCAGCATGCACAGGGTGGTGAGCCCAGCCGCCCGGCTGCTGCTGGCGGGCAGCGGGGTGGACGCGCAGGGCTTGCAGGGCAGCGGCCCTCGCGGGGTCGTCACCAAGGCAGACGCCCTCGCTGCCCTCGCCGCCGCCGCCTCCCCTGCTGCTGCTGCCGCTGCTGCCGCCGCTGCTGCTGCTAGAAGCGTTGCCACCACCACTGCTGCCCCTGCTTCCGCTGCCGCCCCTGCTCCTGCTTCCCCGATCCCCCCAGCTGCGGCTACTGCTGCGCCCAGGGCTGTCCCTCCCCCCCCTTCCGCTCCTGCTTTCCCCCCTGCGCCTGCAGCGGCGGCAGCGCCCGCACTGGGAGGGGCGGCAGGGGCGTTCGTGGACGTTCCGACCACTCAGATCCGGCGGGTGAGTGCATACAGAGGGGTGCGCACACAGGGGTGGGCACACAGGGGGTGCGCACACAGGGGGTGCGCACACAGGGGGTGCGCACACAGGGGGTGGACGCGAGTGCGAGACAGGGCGAGGGATGTGAGGCACAGGTGGTTGGTGTAAGGCGAAGGAGGGGTTGGCAGAGAGCACAGAGCACAGAGCACAGAGCACAGAGCACAGAGCACAGAGCACAGAGCACAGAGCACAGAGCACAGAGCACAGAGCACAGCACAGTACTGTCGTGTTCCCACCTCCTCCTCGCCCTGCCAACCCTGCCCTTCCCCTCTCCTTGACCCTAGGAAATCTGTTCTTCATCCTTGCCATCCTCGTGCGCTCTTTCGCCCCCCTGCTGCCCCGCTCCCATGTATCATATCCCGTGTTCACAGCCCTCCTCCAACCTTCTCTCCAACCCCCGCTACTACCACCCCCGCCCCGTCCCCCCCCCCCCCCCGTTATCATGTGAGCGGCAGATCATAGCGCAGCGGCTGATGGAGTCCAAGTGGGGGTCGCCACACTTGTACGCCGAGGCAGGTGCGCCCCTTGTGGGTGTTAGCCCTCAATCTCACATTTTGTACTTGTACTTTTATATCCTAGTTTAGTGTAGTTTGCACTTTGTGTTTGGTTGGGTGTACACCCACATCCCAACCAAACCCAAATGTGATCTCCAAGCAATCTCCAACCCACCAATTGGAGATTGCCTTGGGATTACCCTTGATTCCCTAGGATTGCCCCCTGATTCCCTCCTCATCCATACCTTGCTCATTCCTGATGTACTTAAAGAGCTTTGAGCTCACTACTAATGTATCAGTTCTAAGCCTAAGTTCTGACACCCCTCACTGCTGGGCTGTCGACCGGGGGCATGCTGAGGTGCACCGGGGGCATGCTGAGGTGCACCGGGGGCATGGTGAGGTGCATGGAGCAGAATTGCTGCACTGCTGTGCTCTGTGGTTTGCCACGCCTCCTTTCCTTCCACCCCCCTCCACCCCCACCGCTGTCTCCTCTTCACCGTCCCACTCTTGCACCAACCTGCTGTGCGCCTTGCCTGCTGTGCGCCTTGCCTGCTGTGCGCCTTGCCTGCTGTGCGCCTTGCCTGCTGTGCGCCTTGCCTGCTGTGCGCCTTGCCTGCTGTGTGCCTTGCCTGCTGTGCGCCTTGCCTGCTGTGCGCCTTGCCTGCTGTGCGCCTTGCCTGCTGTGCGCCTTGCCTGCTGTGCGCCTTGCCTGCTGTGCGCCTTGCCTGCTGTGCGCCTTGCCTGCTGTGCGCCTTGCCTGCTGTGCGCCTTGCCTGCTGTGCGCCTTGCCTGCTGTGTGCCTTGCCTGCTGTGCGCCTTGCCTGCTGTGCGCCTTGCCTGCTGTGCGCCTTGCCTCCTGTGCGCCTTGCCTGCTGTGCGCCTTGCCTGCTGTGCGCCTTGCCTGCTGTGTGCCTTGCCTGCTGTGCGCCTTGCCTGCTGTGCGCCTTGCCTGCTGTGTGCCTTGCCTGCTGTGCGCCTTGCCTGCTGTGCGCCTTGCCTGCTGTGCGCCTTGCCTGCTCCCATTGTTCCTCTCCCCCCTTTCCGCTCTCTCTCAGCCTTTCGCTCTCCGTTATTCCGTGCCGTCTTTCCTTCCAAATCCTCATCGCCTCTCCAATTTTCCAATTTTCTGCCCTCCATCCGCCTGCGCTTCTGCGTCAACCCCCCGCCCCCACATGCCCCCCACGTGCGTGCGCCTGCATGGCACCAGAGGCGGACATCGACGCCACGCTGCAGCTGCGCAAGGAGCTCAAAGGTACGCTGCAGGGGGGGTGCGGAGAGGGGGGGGAGGCGGAGGGCAGGGAACAGGGGGCAGGGGGCAGGGGGCAGGGGGCAGGGGGCAGGGGGCAGGGGGCAGGGGGCAGGGGGCAGGGGGCAGGGGGCAGGGGGCAGGGGACAGGGGCCGCCTTTTCTTACATGGTTGAGACGTTGGTGTACATACGTGGGACGCGAGGGTGTGAGGGGGGATGGAGGGCGCTGGAGGCAGCGCACCTGTTACCCTGCGCTTCCACGTCGAGGGAACATATCACAGAGGGGCTTGGGGAAGGAATGAAGGAAGAAGGGTGATGTGATGTGTGGTCAAGAGAGCTTGAGTGCATGACACGCCGTGAATGGCCCGTTACCCGGCCGGGCTCCACCTTCTTCTCTTGGATCCATGTGCTCCTACCTCCAACACACCGGCCTTCTGACCCACGAAAACGATGTGGGCGCGCCTTATCCCATGGCCCTCTCTCCCCGCTCCCGTGCGTGCCTACTGCCTCGCCTGCCCTCTGCCTCTGCCCTTCTCCCCGTCACCCCACGCACAGGCAAGTGGGGGGTGGCGGTATCAGTGAACGACTTTGTCATCAAGGCCGTCGCCATGGCGCTCGCCCACGTCAGCGATGCCAATGGTGAGCCCCCTCTCCTCTCCTGGGCCACGCGTGGCATGACCCTCGCTGATGTGCTCTTCGCTCACGTTGCGATGCCAATGGTGAGCTGCTGCGCTGCTGCTTCTCGACCCTTGCCTTCCAGCGTTTCGCACATGGCCCCCCCGGGCCCCCACCCCTTGCTCCGCCCACCGCTTGCTCCGCCCATCCCTTGCTCCGCCCACCACTTGCTCTGCCCATCCCTTGCTCCGCCCACCGCTTGCCCCGCTCACCGCTTGCCCCGCTCACCCACCACATCTACATGCTCACTCATCCCACCCGTGCCTGCCCTGCCGTGCCCCCCCCCTCGGCAGTGCACTGGGACGGCAAGGCGGGGCGTGTGGTGAGCAACAGCAGTGTGGACATCTCCATTGCCGTCGCCACTGACAAGGTGGGGGGAAGGTGGGGAGGGCATGGGGGGAGTAGGAGGAGGGGGAAGGGGCAAGGGGTGCGTGCAGAGGTGGAGGGCGCACTGGGGTGGACTCAGACGTGGCTACGGCAGTGTGGACACCTCCATTGCTGTCGCCACTCACAAGGTGCACAAGGGGAGGGCGTGGGGAGCTATGATAGGAAAGACGCAACCAGGACGCTGCGTCTGGACGCTAGGACGCAGGACGCGCGTCCAGACGCAGGACGCACGTCGAAAATTTTATCGGGCAGCCCGAAAAAAAAAATTCCGATCGCGATTTCGACATTTGCGATTTCGGCGCGAATGTTGAAATCGCGAAATTTCGACCCCATAAGCCCAATTCGCCATTGTAAAAAAGCCCCCCCCAACATTTCATAACAACTCATGCAAAATGGAAATGGAGGATGATGGGGATGTGTGATGGTTGACTAGATGCAGTGCAGTTGTAGTTTAGTAGCGATGGTCGACCCATGGTTGGATTAAACTGAATGTGTGTGAGACCTTGTGAAATGCGTGACGCGTGACTCACCTTAATATTAAATTTTGGGGGAAAATTTTGAGGTTGGGGAAAAATTTGCATTGAAAAGTGTGGTACGTCCGGGGATTTTGGCCGGGCCCCTCCGGCCGGGGATTTTGGCCGGGCCCCCCCGTCCGGGGATTTTTTTTTTCACCTTTTTTGGCCTGCCTGGGGATTTTTTTTGCCCTGCCCGGGCTTGCGTCTTTTGGTGCGTCTTAGAGGTCCAGGTTTTGCGTCCTGCGTCTGGACGCATTCGTCCAGGACGCAGGACGCGTCTTTCCTATCATAGGTGGGGAGGGCATGGGGGGAAGAGTGTGGGTGGGCATGGGGGGAGGGGTGGGGGAGGGCATGGAGGGAGGGCGTGGGGGCGAGTGTGGTGGGAAGGGATGGTTTATGGGTTGCGTGGCTAGTGGGTTGACGCCCAGTGTGCTTGTTGCTTGAATGATAGCCTTGCCTGCTCCACCCCTCAGGTGGATTGCCGTTATATTTGTGTGCCTGTGTGCCTCTGTGCCTCTGTGCATGTGTGTGTGCATGCGTGTGTGGTTGTGTGTGTGTGTGACTGCATGGGGGTGGCAGGGACTCATCACGCCCATTCTGAAAGATGCGGATAAGAAGTCGCTCGGAGCCATCTCCAAGGAGGTGACCTGCCTCTGCACTGCTCTTCCCACCCTGCCGCAACCCTTTCCACCGCTGGCACTCTCTCCCCTTGGCACCCTTCCACCTCATCGCTACCTCGCTGCTCCCATATATTCTTGTCCCGTGCTTCATCGTCCCATGCCATTCTCTCTACCCCCGCTCTGCACTGCACCCGCTGCCTCATGCCGCGTAGGCTGCAAAATTTCGCCAATTTTTTCATTTTTGTGGCGAAAATTTCGCTATCAAAATTTTCTACCGAAGTTTTCGATGATTTCGGATCCCCTCCCCCCCAAAAAATTGATGGAAAATTTCGCCCGAAATTATCAGGGGAAAAAAAAAGGAGAAAATCGTGTGTAAATTGATAAAATTCTATGGGTGGACATTCTAATGGCATTTCGCCACCAGATCTAGGCAGATCTGGCATTTCGCCGCCAGATCTAGGGCGGATCTGGCATTTCGCCATCAGATCTAGGGCGGATCTGGCATTTCGCCGCCAGGGAAATTTAGGGAGCTCTTTTTTTTTTTTTGTCCATTAAAATTTCGCGGAAATATTAATAAAACGGCCGAAATTTTCGATCGAAAATTTCGGTACGAATTTTTCGCTTAGCGCAATTTTCCACCTTGCCACGTATGCCATGCACCAACCCTGTCACACCTCACCCCTGTCTCACCTCACCTCCCCCCTGTCTCACCTCTCCCTGTCTCACCTCCCCCGTCTCACCTCCCCCGTCTCACCTCCCCCCGTCTCACCTCCCCCCTGACTCACCTCCCATGCCATGCACCAACCCTTGCTCAACCCTGACAGGTGAAGCAGCTGGCGGAGAGGGCCAGGGCGGGCAAGCTGCAGCCGCATGAATTCCAGGGCGGCACCTTCAGGTGGGCTCAGGTGGTCTACAGGTGGGATCAGGCGTTCGTCTTCTGTTCAGGTGGTCATGAATAGAGAGTATGCAGGTTACATGCCACTCTGAGTACAGGTGAGTGCAGGTGGGTGGTGTTGTGAAGTCGTTGTTGGCTGACTCTCTCACCTGTAGAGCGCAGTGTGCTATGCTGTGCTGTGCTGTGCTGCGCTGCGCTGCGCTGGGCTGTACTGTGCTGTGCTGTGCTGTGCTGTGCTGCGCTGGGCTGTACTGTGCTGTGCTGTGCTGTGCTGTGCTGTGCTGTGCTGTGCTGTGCGGTGTAAGAGCCCCTCACCCTCCTCACCCTCGTCACACATTGCCACTCCCTTCTCCCACGTTGCTGCCCATCCATCCGCATGGTTCAATCCTCCTCACACACAGGCATCCTCGACCATGCCAAGCAGAGCACTCCCACTCCCACGCGCCCCCGCAGCACTCACTCTCACTCATGCCAGTCACTGACGGCCTCCTCCAATCACTGCCTCCTGCGAATCATGCCAATCTCCTTTTCCCCCCCCCCACCACCACCTGCTGTCCCCTGCTGCCCCCTATCCCCCCTCCTCCCGGGCGCACAGCATATCGAATTTGGGCATGTATGCGGTGGACCGCTTCTCCGCCATCATCAACCCGCCTCAGGTGCCGCCTGCCATCTGCCGCGTGTTGTGGGGTGGTGCTGCTGGGGTGGGGCATGGGCGTGTGCCATGGGCGTGTGCCATGGGTGTGTGCCATGGGGTTAGGTGTTGCTTCCAATGGGCGGGCTTTGCAAATGCTGGCAGGCCTGAGTGCGTCAACTAAGCATTCACTCGTTGCATCACTGCCACTCATTTCCAACCCCGCCAACCAGCTGCTTCTTTCCTGCTCTTCTCCCTTCTCGCCCCCCATCACTTCTTGCCTCACCATCCGTCCGTTCCTCCCCGTGCTTTTCCCCCACCCCACCATGGCGCCCTCCCCTGCGTGCCCATGGCAGGCGGGCATTGTAGCGGTGGGCCGTGCGGACAAGGTGCTGCGCCTGCCCGCCGAGTCCTCTGCAGGTCACGTGCCCTCCCAGAGGCGGGGGGCGACGGCCAAGGGGCGGGAAAGAGGGGCGATGGGTGGGACGGAGAGGGGTGGGGATGGATTGGTTGTGGGTGGGCACAAACTGGTTTTAGGTGGGGATGGGTTGGTTGTAGGTTGGTTGGTTTTGCGTCGGGAAGGGGTGGATGTGAGAGTACGCGCGCCATCATCACTCCCCTCATCCTGGCTTCTCTCTGTTCTTTTCAACTGTGTCTTCTCTTCTTCCCCTCTCTGTGTCCCCCCATCGCCCTCTGTGTCTCCCTCTCCCTCTCGCCCTCTCACCCCAACAGCAAGCGCACAGCTGCAGGTGGCGAGCAAGATGGAGGTCACACTCTCTGCAGATGCGCGCGCCCTCGATGGCACCACGGCAGGTGAGGCAAGGGAGAGGGGGGAATGCCGTGCGCACTCAAGCAGCCAGTGGTGTGTCGGCAGGTTGCACACGGTGCATGTGATGTGACATGTCACATGAGTATCTGAGGGCATGCAGTGTTACGCTCTCTGATCCACACATTTCTTGCTGCTCGATTGCTTCAGCCCAGGGCCTGAGATTTCAGCGAAGAAAGGCTGATTTAGGGTCGGAAGGCTGATTTTTCAGACATGGGGATAATGTATGGGCTGATGTTTCAGCAATTTTTTTAAGTGTACACTGATTGATCAGCGTACTGACGAGGGTGTAGGCTGAAATCGCGCTATTACTGATTCGTGTAGGAGCCATGAGTTTCGGCTGTATACTAGGTACATCCCCCGTCAATCACGCCGAAGTTGCCACCTACAGCGCTGATGCAGCGAGAAATAGAATTTTCTCGACGCGTCGGTTCGGTGCAGAAGTTCTGCACCAGAACAACGCACAGCAAAGCACCGCGTGCCCCCACGTCAAGCACCCCCACCTCACCCCACCTCACCCACAGCACTTCATTGAAAATAGACTCTAGCTTTTTTCAGCCTTAGTTTGTGAGTGAGGCTGATTAGTCAGCATTTTTTTAAACCAGGACACTGATTTTCCAGATTTTTTTTTTTTGGTACAACACTGACTGTTCCTAGGCAAAAACGGATCTGAGGCCCTGCTTCAACCTCAACCCCTTGCCTTGTCTCTCACTCCCTTCTGCAGGCAAACTACTTTCTGAGATCTCAGCAAACCTCTCAGACCCTCATCGCCTTCTCATTTAGACAACATCCTGTCTTTCTACGCGCAGCATTCAAGTGAGGGCTTCAATATACTGTAGCAGCCTTCTACTGAGTTTCAGTTAGTTGTTTTTTTCCTTCTTTTCTTTGGAGGGGGGGGAGGGGGGGGGGGGGGGGGAGGGAGAGGAGTGTTGGAAACATATAGTTTGCGCTTCTGATGTGTCAAGCACCACAGCGTAAATGAAGCGAACTACAGCGTGTCAGAATCCCAGTCACTAACCACTGGGATAAAAGGGCTTGTTTATATAGCGGGTGAGTGCGCCCATAACCCCCCAGGCCGACGTGCCTGTAACCCTTCCCTAGGATCATCGGGGATCCCCAGTGGACCTCTGACACCCCCCCGCACTGGGATGCCCGAAGTGCACACACCGGGAATCGAACCCGAGACCTTCGCTCTGATACCATGTCAGAATCCCAGTCACTAACCACTGGGATAAAAAGGCTTGTTTATATAGCGGGTGAGTGCGCCCATAACCCCCCAGGCCGACATGCCTGTAACCCTTCCCTAGGATCATCGGGGATCCCCAGTGGACCTCTGACACAGCGAAGCAACAGCGAGTCAACCTAAACTACAGTAAAGCGATTGACAAGAAAAGCAACAGCAAGAGGCTAAGCGAAGGTCAAAGGTCAGCGACCTTTGACTCGCTAAAAAGCAGCGCGATAGCAAGGACACACAACTGACTCGTCATTAAGCAGCTGCCTGAGTCGTCGTTGTATCGAATCGCAACAGCAGCTATAACAGCAGTTAATAGACCTTTCATATTCCTTGGAATCATACCGTCATTGCCCGGATATAGGACATATGGGTCTTATCCGATATTGGTTCAAAAACTGGCTGTTTATCTTATAAAAGAAAGGTAATGGGTATCTTATAAATCTTATAAACGGGAAACTTTTAAATGACCTCTTATACTACTGTAAAAACTCTCACGAACCAGTCTTTCGCACAGAAACCAATGTTGGGACTTGACTCCGACTTTTCTGGATGCGTTGCATCACGAAGAAAACCTGCTGACGCAGCATGTGACTCAGATACAACATCATCTGAGTCATCGTGTGGATCAATTCCTGGCCCTACGATATCAGGAATTTTTCCCTGAAATTCCTGATTTTCAGCCTAGTTTTGTGTACCTACACTGATTTTTCAGTGTTAAGAATTGATTCAATTCGCGCGCGCTCAAGCGAAAACGTACAAGCTATGACCTAATTCAACAATAAGTTTTTTATGTTTCGATTGTAAGACACATATGTCTTATCCCATATCGGTAAAATGGTCTCCTATAAGCGGAACATGCACCCCCTTGGTCACCCCTTTCTCCCTCGCCTTCGGAGCATGCACTTTCGCTCCCTGGTCTCTGGTCTTCCCAGGTCTCTGCCTGCCCTCCCTCCCTCGCCTGCGCCGCCTTGCATTCCTAGCGTCGAGGGGCGGCAGCGCGCCGCTCCTCACTCCTCCTCGTTTCCTCCCACAGAGGCTCCCCTGGACGTGTGGGGCCCAGCCCGCGTCCAGGGCCAGGGCCGCGAGCGGTACTTCCTGCTGGTCGTTGACGACTACACGCGTTACACCACGGTCTTCCCCTTGCGCAGCAAGGGTCAGGTCCCTGCTGTTCTGATCCCCTGGATCCGCGCTGTTCGTCTCCAGCTCCACGAGCGGTTCGATAGAGACTTTCCTGTCCTGCGTCTGCACTCTGACAGAGGTGGTGAGTTCTCCTCCGACTTTTTGGCAGCCTTCTGTGCGGAGCACGGCATCACCCAGTCGTTCACGCTTCCGGCCTCTCCGCAGCAGAATGGGGTTGCTGAGCGCCGCATTGGCTTAGTCATGGAGGTTGCTCGTACCTCCATGATCCATGCAGCTGCCCCCCATTTTCTGTGGCCGTTTGCGGTCCGGTACGCTGCGCATCAGCTCAACCTTTGGCCCCGTGTCTCCTTGCCGGAGACCTCGCCCACGCTGCTGTGGACGGGGAAGGTTGGCGATGCGTCGCGTTTCCGGGTCTGGGGTGCCCGTGCGTTTGTCCGCGATACCACCGCGGACAAGCTCTCCGCTCGCGCCATTCCCTGTGTCTTCCTTGGTTTTGTCCCTGACGCGCCTGGCTGGCAGTTCTACGAGCCCACCTCGCGCCGTGTCTTTGCGTCTCAGGACGTCACCTTTGACGAGTCCGTTCCCTTCTACCGTCTCTTTCCCTACCGTACTTCTCCTCGCACCCCCCCGCCGCTCTTCCTCGCCCCAAGTCCTCCCCCGGTAGACCCCCTTCCTGCGCCAGGTCTTGCTCCTTTAGGTGTTTCTCAGGTAGACCCTCCCGTACCTGCGCCTGTTGAGGTCACTGGTGACTCTGGTCCTGCTGGAGGTGGTGCTGTCTTCGGTGGTGCGGAGCCTGCGCGTGAGGAGCCTGGGGGTGCTGGGTCTGGAGGTGCAGAGCCTGCGAGTGTGGAGCCTCAGGAAGTGGAGCCTGGAGGAGCGGAGCCTGGAGGTGCGGAGCTTGGAGGAGTGGAGCCTGGAGGAGCGGAGCCTGGAGGTGCGGAGCCTGGAGGTGTGGAGCCTGGAGGAGTGGAGCCTGGTGGTGTGGAGCCTGGAGGAGTGGAGCTTGGAGGTGCTGAGCCTGCGTGTGAGGGGTCTGGGGGTGCTGAGTCTGGGGGTGCGCCGTCTGGGGGTGCTGCGTCTACTGCTGCGCCGCCTCCTTGGGGTGGCCGCCTTCGTCTGCGTGTGCCCCTCACCTCCCAACAGCTACAGGACTGGTACGGTCGTCGTCAGCGTCGCACTACTGGAGCACGGGGCTCCGTCGTTGGCGGTGTTTCGACTGACGTAGCTGGAGTTTGGAGTGGTGTTGGTTGTTTGTCTCCTGGAGGTACTTCTGTCGTGGGTCCCGGATGTGCTCGTACCGTTGGTACTCGAGCTGCCGGGGCTAGTGGTGCTGTGCCTGAGAGTGCTACTGCTGGTGTCCCTGCGTCTGGAGACCCTGGGACTGGAGGTGCCGGTTCTGGGGGTGCTGCTGCTGGTGGAGCTGGTCCTGGAGGAGTGGAGCCTGGGGGTGGTGGAGTTGCTGGAGGTTCTGGAGCTGCTGGTGCTGGTGGCACTGCGCAGCCGCGACTGTTCTTCGATCTACCGTCCCCGTCGTCGCTCCCACAGCCTGACTCTGTGCTTCGCCAGGTTCTTAGTCTTCCGTCTTCTACTGGTCTTCCGTTACTGCCTGGCTCACCGCTGCCTGCTCCTTCTCCTTACACTGAGCAGTCCGGCGGCCTTACTGAGCGTCGTGAGCCTGCGTCGCGTCCTATCTCGCCTGTTCGTTCTGGTCGGACCGCTCGTCGTGTTCCGCGTCCGCGTTCGCCGCCTGTCCCCTCCGCACGCTTTGTCGTCCGTCGTCCTTCCTCTGCTCCACCTTCTGTTCCTCTGCCGCCTCCTCCTGCGTCCTCTCTACCTGACGTTCCAGACCCTGAGTCTGACCGGTATCGTGCTGAGCACCCTACTGTCACGCATCTGCTAGCCACTGTTGTCACTGACCCTTCTTTTGAGTCTGCTGCTGCGTCTGCCTTGGTCGCTGAGCTTGTTGACTTTGCTGCTGCCTGTCGTCTCGACTACACTGCTGGTCTTGTCACTGAGTCTCAGTCTGTCTGTCCTCCGTCCGTCGGGGGTGAGTGTGCTCTTAGCACGGACGTCCTTGAGGACAGGCACGAGGACCTTGAGTGTCTTGCAGCCGCTGCGCCTCATCTCGTGGCCATGCTGCTTGCCCCTGAGGGAGACTCGGATGCTATAGACATCCCCACACCGCGCTCTTACGCTGAGGCGATCGCGGGTCCCTACTCCTCTCAGTGGCAGGCAGCCATGGACGCAGAGATGGCATATTGGAAGTCCACAGGCACGTACGTCGATGAGGTTCCCCCCCCCTCCCCCCGGGACGAACATTGTCGATGGCATGTGGATTTTCAGGGTGAAGCGGCTGCCAGGTTCTCCGCCTGTCTTCAAGGCTCGTTACGTTGCTAGAGGCTTCAGTCAGCGAGAGGGAGTCGACTTCTTTCAGACCTTCTCCCCCACCCCGAAAATGACCACTCTTCGGGTGCTACTGCACGTTGCCGCTCAGCGTGACTACGAGCTTCACTCGCTGGACTTTAGCACAGCCTTCCTACAGGGCAGCCTGCACGAGGAGATCTGGCTACGCCGTCCACCTGGCTTCACTGGGTCGTTCCCTCCTGGCACCCAGTGGAGCCTCCGCCGGCCAGTCTACGGTCTCCGCCAGGCGCCACGTGAGTGGCACGACACACTGAGGACTACACTTGCGGCTCTTGGGTTTGCACCTTCGAGAGCTGATTCGTCGCTGTTTCTACGCACCGACACTTCTCTGCCGCCGTTCTACATCCTCGTGTACGTCGATGACTTGGTCTTTGCCACTGCTGACACTGAGGCTCTCGCCTTGGTGAAGTCGGAGCTGCAGAAGAGAGACACGTGCACTGACCTGGGTGAGCTGCGCAGCTACCTTGGCTTGCAGATCACCCGAGACAGACAACGCCGCACCATCACACTGACTCAGTCACACATGGTGCAGCAGGTCCTTCAGCGCTTCGGCTTCACGTACTCCTTGCCTCAGGCCACTCCTCTGGCTACACGCCACTCGCTCTCAGCTCTGCCTTCGGATGAGTCCGTAGAGTCGAGTGGCCCGTACCCAGAGCTTGTTGGCTGCCTCATGTACCTGATGACCTGCACTCGACCTGACCTTGCATACCCTCTTAGCATTTTGGCACGCTATGTTGCTCCTGGGAGACACAGACCAGAGCACATGGCTGCAGCGAAGAGGGTGTTGCGCTACTTGTGCAGTACGTCGGGCATGGGGCTTGTGCTTGGAGGGCAGAGTTCAGTGGTCCTCACTGGTCACGCAGACGCTTCTTGGGCTGACGACCAGGCTACGCAGCGGTCGTCACAGGGTTACACCTTCAGCCTTGGTTCCGGCTCTGTTTCGTGGCGGTCTACCCGCTCGTCTTCTGTTCTCGGCTCCAGTTGT